CAAGTGGGACCCCGAGTCCGGCAAGATGCTTGGCCCAGAGAAGTGGGATCTGGAGTCAGGAAAGATGCTTGGCCGCAACCCACTCCCGGCCACTAGGGTCTTTAACCTGTAACCCCGCCAAAGCCTGGCCCAGCCATCGGCGACTCAGACGGCGCGCCGCACCCCGCTCCCCGGGACACTCACCCACTCGCGCACAGACACCGTGAGGACCAGGGTGGGGCTCCGACGCAGGCCGATGGGGCTCAGAAGCACCCCGCTCGCAGAGCTGGGCTCAGACCCTCGGACCTTCCGCGCGGCTGGAGTCCTCAGCCCGCTCTGGGTCGGCGATTCCAGAGCTGCCTATTTAAGCCTCCGCCCGCCCCCGCCCCGCCCCGCCCCCGCCCCCCGTCCACGCCGCTGCTGCGGGCTGATGTGTCCACACTGCGGGGAATCCCCACCTTCAGGGGAGGGCCTCGCACCCACTGAGATTACCCCCCCCCCCCCCCACACACACACCAGGGGCTGGCTAGACAGCTCCCAAGGACTGGGCGTGTTAGAGAAGGAGGGAGGGAAAAGAGGGAGGGGGAGAACGAGTGTGTGTGTGTGTGTGTGTGTGTGTGTGTACTGTGGGGGGTTTGGGGGGAGTGGTGGACACGGGTGGGGAGGCAGGCTAGACCAGCCAAAGTGCAACTCCTCTTGGGGAAAAATTAGGTCTGTCCCTTTAAGAATGAATTCTCCCTTCCTTTGCCTGAGCCTGTAGACCAGTTAGGACTGGACAAATTCTCAGTCCCTAACCCCCCACTCCTCACAGGCCCATATGAGAGCTAGAATTTATTAGAGTTCCTAAATCATTGCTAGAGTTCCTAAAGAGTCCACACCAAATCCTTCTGGCACTTCCCTGTCCTGGAGAATTGAAGATTGTCTGTAATAAGACTGTCTTTAGGGATGAAAGGTAGAGGTGATGGTGGTGTCTGTGAATCCCTGGGGACCAGTAGCAGGTGGCTGGGAAGGGACCAGGAGGACCCCCTGGTAGTGCCTAGCAGGCAGGATTGCATGCTTCAATCCTAGAGGGAAGACACAGGCCCAGAGATGGGAAAAGGTGAACTCAGCCCCACAACTCTACCTTCCAAGCAACTGCCAGCAACTCTGCTAAAAATATCTGCCCCTGGCACTGGTTATTCTGCCCCTGGGCTGGAGGTTGCCCTGAGTTGGGGAAATCCAGGCAGACAGTGTAGGATGCCAGCAAGATGTAGACACTTGACTCTTTAAGCTTTTCCTGCTTCCTTAGCCCCAGGAAGAGCACATGCAGACAGAGTATGGGCAAGAGGTGGGAAGTGACTTGCTACCACTTTGGTGTCTAAAGTTTACTCTCCCTCAGACCTAGGGTTGGGGGGGGGGCACAGAGGAAGGAGAGGTGATCAGGAAGCTGAGTGTCTAGTGCTAGCCATTCCTCTGGTCTACTGGATCTTGGCTCTCTCCGGCTTCAGGGAGATAAAATTGGACATAAATTGGACATCATGACCTATTCCACCTTGTTCATCTTTGTCATAAGGACTGGGGGGTGGGGAGGCTGTGACGTATTTTAGAACAAGAACTTGCTATCAGTCTCTGATGTTAGATTGTGAGAAGTACGGGTGTCAGTGGGAGGGCACCTATTCAAGACTCAGGTGACATCACAGATAGATGGACCCTAGTGGGCTGTAGCAGGTTGTCATGGAGACTTGGGCTAGAGTTTCTGACTGCTGCATCAGTTTCCTTGGCAACATCTAAGAAGTCCTTGGATGGATAAGGGCCTGACTAGGAAAGGTTAGGGGTTCATGAAGGGCTCTCTTATTCTTGAAGTCTTCGAAGTAGGCAAGAGTTGGTCAGAAGGAGCCAGCCCGTGTGTCATCCCCATTAGGAAAGACCTTGGAAACCTGGGAAACCTTGGAAGACCTTGGAAACTTGCTGGCTGTGGCTTCTCGGATAAGATCTAGCAGGAAGAGAAAGTCAGCTCAACCTCTCATCAGAGGATAGAAGTTTCTAGAACCAGCATACCATTTCCCATCAAGAATACTGGCCACCTGCTTATAACCTTCCCCCTGCCCCCCTCCCCCCGCCTGCCCAACATACACATGTGGTGTAGCTGGGAAGAACCCCTAGATGTCTGGCAGAGGGGTGGGGGAGGGCAGTAGCTGTGGCCCTTCCCAGCAGAAGGCTGAGCATATAAACAGGGCTGGCTTTCCCCTCTGGTAATTTGAGCTCTTGACTTCAGCAGTGTGTCTTCATTGCCAAGGAAACAGCATACACACAGGCCACTCAGATCCCAGGCATTCTGGTAGCTGCCCCAACAGGGTAGAGACACTTATCAGGAACCTAGGTAGGGCCAGAGGACTTTCACACCAGAATGTGACCTTGAGACACATTTTTCTACTCCTTCCATCTAGTCCTCCCAGCCCTCTGTGCTGAAGTTGGTCGCCTAGAATGCACAAAGTGAGTCTGGAAGCAGCCCTAAGGCCCTCTGTTCCTTTCTAGTTATGTCATCCTTTGTGCATTTATCCTGGCTGAGCCTCAGTTTCCTCCTGTGTCCACTGCGGTTAATATTTTGTTGGGAGTTGTTCTGAGATACACACACACACACACACACACACACACACACATATGTAACATAATACGTAGAGGTACTGTAATTGGTTCAAGACACACATGGAGCCATCTCAAAACACTTGTATTATTACCACCCTTGGGTGGATAGGGCAGGCTGAGTGAATCAGTAGGCTTTCTCTTGCTTCTGCACCATTCTCTCTCCAGGATAGTGGTTTGCTCAGGATTGTTCCAGGGATCCCTTTAACAATGAAGACAACTCTTCCCTGTATTCTATACCCATCTTCTTCTTCCTTTTTTGTTTTTTGGGTCCGGTCGTGAGGCCTGAACTCTGGCCCTGGGCGCTGTCCCTCAGCTCTTCAGCTCAAGGCTAGCGCTCTACCACTTGAGCTACAGCACCACTTCCGGCTTTTTTCTTTTTGCCTGTGTGGTGCTGAGGAATCGAACCCAGGGCCTCAGGGATGCAAGGCAAGTGCTCTACCACTGAGCCACCTTCCCAGCCCCTCTATACCCATCTTCTCACTGTGGTACCCCACCTAATCTCAGGTGGGGTGCAAAGGAAACTTGGGAACTGGCTTCAGTGTCCTCAGCCCTCCTTGACCACAGCCTCCAGGTCTCAAGGACTGTACTCTGTTCTAAGGCTTCACTCATCCATCCATCCATCCATCCATCCATTCATTTTACTGACCTATACTCAGTATCTGAGTATAGGCCCTTTTACCAGGGGCAATATAATGAATAGACACGGCTGGGCTTGTTCATGTGTCACCTGATCTAGAGATCAATCTCATTTAGCTATGATTTGTTTTCACATTTTGTAGACATGGTAACAGAGGCTTCAGGGGTCACTGGCCAGAAATAGCAGAGCCAGATATACCTAGAGATGGGTTTCAGAGAACTTGAGCTCTTCCCCCCTACCGTTACTTCTGCATCCTCACCCAACAGCTGGGGGTTCCAGAAGGTTCCCTGGGTGCTGGCCCAGTATGCACAGATGGTGTCCCACAGGCAGTCAGAGGCCAGGCATTTATGAGTCAAGACTGTCAAGGGGACTATCTGAAATCCCAACCGTGGCATGAACAGCTTGGTATCCCTTACCCAATCATGCTCTGGCTGCCAAGAGGGCCGATGGAATGACTCAGTGACACATCCCTTCTCTGTGACCCCCACTTCCAGTTGAACACAGATACATCCAGTAGAGGCCGCATGTGATGAGGCTTATAATTCAGGAAGGCTGCCTGGGCCTGATCGCCCTGATCAGGCACCATGCCTACCTAGAGCCTTCAGCTCCTTATCTGTGGAATGGGGGTCTAGTCCCTGGAAGATCATCTGAAATAGGACCAGGGCCTATTCATATCCCCTACAGAGCAGTCCCAAGAGACTGCCACGACTATCCCAATCATGTATGAAGAGTGACATGTACTGAGCAATCAGTTCCAGTGTCCTCTCAGTCATCAGTGAGCAGTGATCACAACAGAAGCTGGGATCTGGGGTGGGCCTAGGCCTTTCTATGGAGGTAACAGCGCCCCCTACCAGATGTTTAGATTCCCTTTACCTCTTGAGCTATAAGCGTTGAAAACTATTCTAGAAGCTAATTTCCTCATGGATAAAAGCAACTGCCACACAGGGCTGGATGGAAAACTGTAAACAGTAAATAAAGCTAAACAGTAAACCCCTGGGCCCAAATGCCCACTCTCAGGACAGGCAAAGTGTTGTCAATGGGCCATCAAGAATAGATTTGTGCAGGCTGTAATCCTAGCTACATGGGAGGCAGAAGTCAGGAGGATTGATATTCAGGGCTAGCCCAGACAAGAAAGTTAATGAGACTTTCATCTTAACTAATAGAAAACTTGGGCATTGTGGTGCATATCTGTCATCCCAGCAGAAGCACAAACAGAAGGATCATGGTCCAGATCAGCCCAGGTATAATGTGAAATCTTTTAAAAAAAACTTTATTATTATTGTTACTATTATTATTATTACTATTGTTTTAGTTGGTCATGGGGCCTGAACTCTGGGCCTGTGCGCTGTCCCTCAGCTCTTCAGCTCAAGGCTAGCACCCTACCAGCTGAGCCACAGTGCCACTTCCTGCTTTTTCTGCTTATGTGGTTCTGAGGAATTGAACCCAGGGCCTCATGCATGCAAAGCAAGCACTCTACCACTGAGCCATCTTCCTAGCCCCTAATGTGAAATCTTATTTGAAAAATAATTAATGCAAAAGTGGCTTGCGGTGTAGTTGCACATGCTTAGCCAGAACAAGGCCTGAGTTAAAACCCCAAAACAACCAACCAACAAAACAAAACCAGACATGATGGCCTGTGCCTGACCCAGCTACCTGCGAGGTCTAGGTAGGGTCCACTCTGCAGGGACACCCACTGCCCCTGCCTTCCCTCCTAATCCCAAATGATTCCAAGACAAAGTCACTAAGGCATCCTAGAAAATGAATATAAATTAAAGGTTTATTACAAAATGCAAAATGTTAATTTCTCATTGTCAGTGATTCAAGAAAACAAAGTCATGACCCCTGGATGCAGCTGGGGCCAGTAGAGAACAGTGTGCAGGCTGGGGGGTCAGAAGCCAAGCTTAGGAGCGAGCTGACAGACACTGATTCACAACCTCCAGTAGGTGGGTGTTCTCCAGGGCAGCTGCTACTCGCTCCTTATCTGCAAGCTGTTTGTTCACTGTGTGAAAGAAGGGGTGAGAAAGGCAGAATCAAAACCAGCTCTGGTTAAGCTGCTAGCTAGCCTAATCTCTAAGCCTTAGTATAAGCTACATTCCCACCAATATAAGGCTCTCCTATCACCTTCCTAGGACCCCATATCTTAAATCAGACTACCCAACCAATCATATAAGCCCACAGTGATCCTGTCTTCTTAAGACTGCCTCTCACCTGCTTCTGATACTGTCAAAATCTGACACAACTTTCCTGTTTACTTGGAGAGCACAGGGGGGTGGTACATGGTAAGCAGGAGATTTGAGTCAGGTGAGCTTTGTTATAGGCTAAATCTCACAGACAATTCCATTCACCTAGTCGGAATTCCGTTCCCCAATTTCCCTATAGACCACTGTGGCAAGGTAGTACCTCCCACAGCACAGGGCCCTAGGATATCACTTTCATCACCAGCTCACACTTACCTGCATGCTCCGAGGCATGGGTTCCTGGGGTAATGTGCACATCCATCTGAGAAGGAAACAACCTGAGCCTGAGCACTCACCCCTTCTTGTCTCCCCCTCCCCCCACCCCCTTTCCCCGCCCCCAACCCTCCAGTGCTACTTCCAACGAATTCTTCCTCCTAATCATGCCTCTAGATTCTGGTCCCACCATTACGCCCCAAACTCACCCACAGCCATTCCAACTCTACCCAAAGGACTGGCCAACGACCGTGGGTCAGATCCAAATCCACCTACAGCTCCTCTTGCCACACCCTTCACTATTTTTTTTTTCCTTTGCCACTTTCCAGTTCAGATCTCTCTTACTATCACACCAACTTGGCCAATTTCAGCCCACTTTCATCTCTGCTAGTTGGGATCCTCCTAGGCCCTAACTCTGATATCCTCTCCATGTCCCTGTTCTTCCAGTCCCCTCCTCCTTAGCAGCAGACTTAGTTGCACCCTCCGGTGCTCAACTCCAACTGACCTTGAAACGCTGGGGAAGGGACCGCAGAAGCTTGACTTTGATAGACAAGCCAATAAGGGTGGCCATGCTGCAGTGCGGAATGGTGGGTGTGAAGGCCACTGCCACTGTGCTCTCAGGGTCACTAACCTGGTGGGAGGTGTTGGGGGAGGGGGAGAGAGGTCGGACATCACAATTATCCCCAGCCCAGGTGCCCTCCAAGCCTGTTGCTGTGGGCAAATCACCTAATCTTTACGGGCTTCAGCATCAATACCCCTAAAATGGGCATGGTAAAGATCCCCCGCTTCCCCCAACTCAGGTGTCTGCTGCTCAAATCCAAACGAGTCGCTTCCCCGCCCCCCCCCCCCCCCCCCCCGATGCTGGGCGTGCCTCACCTGAACCCGAACTTGCTCGACGACGTTCAACTCCTCTAGCGTCAGGGGATGCTCTGGGTCATTGATGGAGCGAATAAGATGTGGTAAGTGAAGGAAAGCACGTCCTGTGTTTCTGTCCACTTAGAAGCTCAGCCAGCGGTCGGACTCCAGTCACTTCCCCGCTCCCCGCCGCCCCCGGCCCGGCCCGTCCCGGCCCGTCCGCTCCCCGGCCCGTACCGTCCGCTCCCCGGCCCGCCCCGTCCCGGCCCGTCCGCTCCCCGGCCCGGCCCGCCCCGTCCGCTCCCGGCCCGTCCGCTCCCCGGCCCGTCCCGTCCGCTCCCCGTCCCGTCCGCTCCCCGTCCCGCCCCGTCCCGGCCCGGCCCGTCCCGTCCGCTCCCCGGCCCGCCCCGTCCCGCCCCGTCCCGGCCCGTCCCGTCCGCTCCCGGCCCGTCCCGTCCCGTCCGCTCCCCGTCCCGGCCTGCCCCGCCCCGTCCCGGCCCGTCCCGTCCGCTCCCGGCCCGTCCCGTCCGCTCCCCGGCCCGTCCGCTCCCCGGCCCGCCCCGTCCCGGCCCGTCCCGTCCGCTCCCCGGCCCGCCCCGTCCCGGCCCGTCCCGTCCGCTCCCCGGCCCGTCCCGGCCCGTCCCGTCCGCTCCCGGCCCGTCCCGTCCGCTCCCCGGCCCGTCCGCTCCCCGGCCCGCCCCGTCCCGGCCCGCCCCGTCCGCTCCCGGCCCGTCCCGTCCGCTCCCCGGCCCGTCCCGTCCGCTCCCCGGCCGGCCCCGTCCCGGCCCGTCCCGTCCGCTCCCCGGCCCGCCCCGTCCCGGCCCGTCCCGTCCGCTCCCCGGCCCGTCCCGGCCCGTCCCGTCCGCTCCCGGCCCGTCCCGTCCGCTCCCCGGCCCGTCCGCTCCCCGGCCCGCCCCGTCCCGGCCCGCCCCGTCCGCTCCCGGCCCGTCCCGTCCGCTCCCCGGCCCGTCCGCTCCCCGGCCGGCCCCGTCCCGGCCCGTCCCGTCCGCTCCCCGGCCCGCCCCGTCCCGGCCCGTCCCGTCCGCTCCCCGGCCCGTCCCGGCCCGTCCCGTCCGCTCCCCGGCCCGTCCGCTCCCCGGCCCGCCCCGGCCCGGCCCGTCCGCTCCCCGGCCCGCCCCGGCCCGGCCCGTCCGCTCCCCGGCCCGCCCCGTCCCGGCCCGTCCGCTCCCCGGCCCGCCCCGGCCCGGCCCAGGCCCAGCACCGGCGGATATCGAAGATCTCCCGTGCGTCTATGCTGTCGGGAACCTCCTCGTCCTCCTCCCCTGCAGTCACGGGCCGCTCCCCAGAGCGCTCATAGATGAGGGGGTTTGCATTCTCCAGCAGCCCACCGCCTCCGCCGCCGCCCACCATCCCGCAACGGCGGCCGACCCCAGCCGGGGTCCACTTCCGCTCCTAATAGCCCACTTCCGGAGTACGGGAAGGAGGCGTGGCGTGGCTACGGGGTGGCGCGAGGGACCCGGCGCGCTTTTCGGAATCCGCCTAAGGTTTGGGGGAAGCGGTGGCTTTGCGTGCTGGCCTCTGAGACCGAGGGAAAATGCGGATGGCTCCCGCCAGGCTTTAGAAGGGACCCGGGTCAGGCGAGGCCTGGCGATCCCGCGGAGACCTTGACAGAGGCCAGGGTCGTTCCCATACAGCCTATCGGCTCTCTGAGGCCGAGTCTCGCCATTTCCTCCGAGAAATCCGGCTGGCCTGGCGTGTCGGGGACTCTGACACCAAGCTGTGAAACCTGGGGGAAGGTTCGAGAGTTTGGAACGCGGCCTCGGAACGCTGAGAGCTGGCCATGAAGGGTTAAAGCAGACAGCTCTGGAGATACTCGGGATCTTGTGGATAAAAGAGCTGAGCTAGCAGCTTAACCTTGGGAGGCTAGGTAAGGACTTCTGGTCTGGGCTCTCCCTGGGCTGCAGCCTCCTGCAAAAGAATAAAGGAACTAGTATCTCTCACAAGCTCTGTTTCGGCTCTGATTGTGATAATATAGATGCTTTTCTTTTTGCCCGTATCCATGGTAACCTTCTTTGTGTAAACTCAAATAAATATGCTTGCTGGTGGAAACTTGGGGCCCAAGTGCCCGTGAGCCTTGGGACCCCCATGCCCCTCCCCCATCTCTCTGTCAGTGTCTCTGTGTTTTCTCTACTTTTCTTCTGCTCTGATATCCCATCGCTAGCCTTGGGTTGTGTTTAGCAACACCAGTGTCCAGACTGGCTATTGCTATCCCAGCAGAGGTCTTGGCTTCTCCAGAAGTGATGTGCCTGCTACTCCTACAGAACCATAGGGCCAGGAGGGACTCTGGGTTTGAGGAGAGAGTCCTGGTAACTCAGAGGCTACAGAAGTCACTGAGTACCTTCAAGGAGACCAACAGGGGCACAGGAGATAAGGAGGTAGACATGGCCTTCTGGCTCCTCAGGAATTTTACCAAGTTCAGTGCCCACTCTTTCGCAATGCAAACCTTGCACAGTACCACGTGTTCCTGCCCCGTCCAAAGTCTGGAGTGGGAAAGCTCTAATTTGCTATTGCTGCTGCGGCCAGTGCCGCCTGTGGATGAAACTCAGCATGCTCTGCAGCACTGACAGAGGTCTGGGTTCCCACCATGCTGCTGCATCAGCCTCGTGCATGCTATGGTGTATGGGCTCCGGTTTCTGCTTCTTCAAGGTGAGACTCCTCCAGGGGGCAACAGAGACTAAGGTCAGCTCTGCCGGACTGCGCAGAGGTGGAGCTTGAGGGGAAGGTGTCAAGGAGGAAGTTAACTGCTGAAGACAAAAAATGTCCACAGGCTATTTTGGAAACTCTTGGTTATGCGACTGTCTCTCCTACCTTACCACAGACCTTGAGAACCTAAGTCCCAGCATGACCACCAGCAAGTTCCCCTTAAATGTTTGTCAAGTGGGTACAACTGTGAATTTTATCTTGGTGGTAAAAGTAGCAAGGATAGCCATTGAGGGAGAGAGGTAAAAGGCTAAGTCCTTAAGTGTCAGTCACAAGTGTGATTGAATGGAACAGCTCTTTTTTTTTTTTTTTTTCGTGGGTTGTGGGGCTTGAACTCTAGGCCTGGACACTGTCCCTGACCTCTTCAGCTCAAGGCTAGCATTCTACCACTTGAGCCACAGTGCCACTTCTGGCTTTTTCTGTTTATGTGGTGCTGAGGAATTGAACCCAGGGCCTCATGCATGGGAGGCACTACCACTGAGCCACCTTCCCAGCCCCAGAACAGCTCTTTTCAAATAGGGAAGGGTCCATGCAGACCCTAAGACCATGACTCTAAGGATTGAGGGAACTTGAAGGAGTCCTAGCAATAAACTTGAGTCCTGATTTCAAGGAGGAGTTTCAGGCCAGGCACCAGTGGCTCACGCGTGTCACAGGAGGCTGAGATCTGAGGACCGTGGTTCAAAGCCAGCCTGGGCAAGGAAAGTCCATGAGACTCTTATCTCCAATTAAGCACCAGAAAACTGGAGGTGGAACTGGGGCTCAAGTGGTAGAGCACTCTCCTTGAGCTGAATTGCTCAGGGGCAGCACCCAGACCCAGAGTTTAAGTCCCAGGACAGAAGGAGTTTCAGGATGAAGAACACAGTCGCAGCTCCCTGTTCTTGTTCAAATGCTCACCTTTGCCCCATGGGAGCTGGGGGCACAGTCCATTTGTGGGTTCCTGAGCCTGCTTCTCTTCAGAGCACTCCTGAATTTCTCCATTACAGCCTTCACCTCAGTAAACATAATGATCTCAGGTCTGGAGACAGCTCCTAGTATCTCAAGAGCTGCAGAAGCCACACAACCCACCTGGAGGAAAGCGAAGGGGAAGTAGGAGAAGAGGAAGGCTCACATCCTGAGTGCGAGCCACTGACTTCCTGTGACTTCTGCCCTGTCAGTGCCACTTTCTCCACAGAAATCTCTTTCCCCAGCCCCACCCAGATCCCCACCTATTCCAGCAGGTCTAAACTCCTGCTTGCACAAGGCCCAGTTTAATTGTGCCTGTGAGTGAGTTGCAGTGTGCCACACAGAGGCACAGAAACAGTCCTGTGAGCCAACCATGCCTCTGGACCGATTTCCTGCCTGGCTGACTGCAATGATCTGTGGGTTCCTGCTTCTCCCACTCCAGATCCACGGTGAGACTCCTGCAGGGGGCGATGGGGACCAGGTGAGATCTGCCACATGGTGTAGAGCAGAGCTTGAGACTGGGGAAAGGGAAGGAGGAAAAGGCGAGTCAAGAGCAAAGTGTGGGAAACTTATGCCACTTTAAAGTACCCCCACGAGGTGACCAGATTGGTCTCCAAATATCTCAGAGAGGGATCATAGACACCTGAGGACACCAAGGAGTGAGCCAGCCCACTGTGGGAAGCTCTGATTTTCCCTAGATGGGCAGAAACCTCCAGGAAGAGGATGGTGTGTGTGTGTGTGTGTGTGTGTGTGTGTGTCTGTGTGTGTGTGTGTGTGGTGTGTGTGTGTGTGAGAGAGAGAGAGAGAGAGAGAGAGAGAGAGGAGAGAGAGAGAGAGAATATTCAGGACAATCATTTCTCTATATCTGTGGCTGTGTCTGGCTGTAGTTGCTAATGGTCCTGGGTAAAGCAACAATAATACCTTCATGCTGCCATTTGCTTTTGAGTAGGTTACCCCATTGGCTAGAGAAGTACCATGGCACCTCCAAAGTGGTTCCAGGCAAGGTGGTACACAGACCCTCAGCCACACAATGTCAAAGCTGAACTAAAGGACTGTCGGTTCTTTGCACTTATGTATCAGTCCTTGGCAAAGGCATAGCTCGGCTTTGCAGGGCAAAGCATATGCCCAGTGCCTGCTAGACAATCGAGGCCCTTATCAAGAGCTCATGCCAGAAAGAAACCATGCCCAGGTGTGTGTGTATAGCCCTTGATCTTTCTCATCCTACAGCCTCCTAGTAGGGTCCCTAACAATGTTCTCCATCTAATCTGCCTAAAGTGTCTCCCCCTTACCTTACCCATGGGCCTCACCTATTCCTTCCAGGCTTCTTCTCTTTCCTCTTCCCTTCTCTTCTCTTTCCTCTTCTCTTCTCTTCTCTTCTCTTCTCTTCTCTCCTCTCCTCTCCTCTCCTCTCTTCTCCTCTTCTCCCTCCCTCCCTCCCTCCCTCCCTCCCTTCCTTCCTTCCTTTCTTTCTTGCTTTTTTTTTTTTTTAGTTGGTCATGGAGCTTGACCTCTGGGTCTGGTTCTGTCCTTGAGCTCTTCAGCTCAAGGTGTGTGCTCTGCCACTTGAGCCACAGCGCCACTTCCAGTTTTCTGGTGGTTAATTGGAGATAAGGGTCTTATAAACTTTCTTGCCTGGGCTGGCTTGAACCACGATCCTCAGATCTCAGCCTCCTGAGTAGCTAGGAATTACAGGCGTGAGCTCCTGGCACCCAGCTTCCTCCCTTACTTTTTTTTTGGGGGGGGAGGGGGAGTTGGTCGTGGGGCCTGAACTCTGGGCCTGGGCGCTGTCCCTCAGCATTTCAGCTCAAGGCTAGCGGTCTACCACTTAAGCCACAGCACCACTTCTGGCTTTTTTTGTCATGTGGTGCTGAGGAATCGAACCCAGGGCCTCATGCATGCAAGGCAAGCACTCTACCACTGATCCACCTTCCCAGCCCTCCCTTACTTTTTTTGACCAGACTCTAGGAGGTCATCAAGGCCTTCTTGGCAGAAAGGTCTGCACTAAGACTTCTGTATTAATTCATCTTTAGCTTGGATTCATTGGTTCAGAATCTGACAAGACCCTAGTATCACCTATCCTACCCAGTCCTGGCTCCTCAGAAGGACCATCAGTCACAGGGTCTACTCTACAGTGTCAGGACTTTACCTAAGAACCCTTGGTTTTTGCCTAACTGTTCACTAACCCCCCACTTTCTGGAGCTGGGCTCTGACTCCTGACATGAGGAATACGTATCCCCATGTGTGGCTCAGCTTCCTGGTACTAGTTCACAGAGGTTCCTCTCTGAGGATGAAGCATCTTCCATGTAAACTGGTCTCTAACAGGAGCATATCAGCAATGCTTGTCCTTTGCGGTAACAAATATTAGACATCAGTGTCTGATGGCCACAATGAGGTACATGGTCTGAAATCCCATCTTTCAAGACATCTCAGGTAGCCTGTCTATTCCCAGGGTCAAGGATGTATTTTACTGGACTTGAGGTTGGTAAATGGCTGTCACTGGCGTCTGTACGTAGCTACTGCTCAGGCCTCCCTACACAAGGTTAATCAAACTTGCTGATCCTTAAAGTTCTAATGGGGAAAGGGAATAGCACCACTCCGAGAGTTCTTGGGGCTTTAATTTTTTTCTTATAGGAATAGTTCAGATCTGCCAATTTCTTTTTTCCCCCCTCTTTTGTTGGTCATGAGGCTTGAACACCCACAGCTGCTGGTTGGGCAGACCCAACCCTGATGTAGCATTACTCTACCCACAGGTCATGACTCATCCAGCCCCATCAGGACCACACAATATGGGCAGGTGAAGGGCAGCCTTGTCCATCTGAGGGACACTGATGTCAAGGTCCACACCTTCCTGGGAATTCCTTTTGCCAAGCCACCTGTAGGACCACTGCGGTTTGCCCCTCCAGAGCCCCCTGAGCCTTGGAGTGGTGTGAGGGATAGCACCTCCCACCCAGCCATGTAAGTTCTTGCAGGGAGCCCAGGGGACTTCAGTGTCGGAGTGGGACAGGAGCTCCGAGCTGTGGGTCAGGCTGAGCAGTTCTTCCATCTGAACACCACAGCTAGTTCCCTTAGCATGTGGGAAAACCTCCCAGTGCATTTTCCTAAAAATATGTTGATGTTCAAAGAGTGCAGCATCTTTGCTAGGCTCAGGGATCTAGTCTTGACATGTGGACAATATTAACACCAGGTGCTAAAGAGAGGAGCAGAGATAAACTTCCTTTGTCTTGATTTGGACTAATCTTCCACTGTTATCTGGGAGATGTGCAGGCTGGCTGTAAGAGTCTCTGCCCCAGCAGCTGATGGTATGTACAGATCCTTAAGGAGGGCAGCAGTGGTGGTTCTTTGGAGAAGTTAAACTCTTCAGTTCACTGTGCCAACCCACAGGGCCACGTGCCACTGACCCATGAAAAGTCTATGTGCTCCCAACTGGAGACTCTGTGGAAGGGTGAAGTTCCATGAGAGTCTGAACTTGGGGTGAGGAAGGTCCTCCCATCTCAATTCACTCACTTGTGTGATGGCAGCAACTCTGTTCCAGGCCTGAATGGGTACTGGGTGAATTGGTGAATGTCAGTCCTTACAGCCAATGGTTCCTACAGAGTCCTCTAAGAGTCGAGAACTTCCAGCCTGGAGAGTGGTGGGATCGAAGCCCCCAACAACCTTGAGGTCTACCTGGAAGTCAAGGCTTCATCTAAGTCTGAGACCTGCACCTGTGTAGGAAGAAACTTTAGAGAAGGGCTGTGCCTGAACAGAACACGAGGGATGGCAGAGGCTGAGAATAGCTGGGAGCAAGTCCCAGGGGCTGGGTTTCACCACTGTATAATCCTTAGAATATCTGTCTGCCATTGTTATTAGGTGTCTGCAAAATGCCGAAGGAAACAATGCCATATCCACGATCCTGTTGAATATGACCATGACTCCCATCCCTGTATCTGAGGACTGTCTGTACCTCAGTATCTACTCACCTGTCCATGCCCATGAGGGCTCTAACCTGCCTGTGAGTATCAGGACATGGTCACCTGAGTGTTGAGTAGGAGGACATTTCTTTTGTGTGAATATTAGAAAAGTCAAACAGACCTAGGCTCTACTACAGCATGGATACTAATAAGAAGTGAGACAGTGAGGATACTGTCAGGTCCAGAAGGCCTTCTTACCCAGACAGGGGCTTTACCCTAGGTATGGAGACCCCAAGTCTTGATGGCTCCCAGAGATCAGATGCTCCATTGCACTTTACTCAACTGGACAATGGGTAATTGTCCTTTGGGGGAATTTCAGAGAGACCTTCTTTTATTGCCTACCTTAGAAATTTTCTGGGAGAACTAGATCCATGCTTTTATACATGGGGCAGATGAAAGCACAAGAGTGCTATATTCCTAATTGAACTTGGATCTTTAGCCATGGCAGAGACCATGGCCCCTTCTGGGCTCTGGAAGGAAGATAGTCTCAGAGAGCCAAATCAATGGATAATGTAGGGGGTAGCCGCGGAGGGCCTTGAGTTGGATCAGAACCAATGTCAACTATCTTGACTTTTCCAGGTGATGGTGTGGATCCATGGTGGGGGTTTAATTATGGGCATGGCTTCCTTGTATGATGGATCCAGGCTGGCAGCCATTGAGGATGTGTTGGTGGTCACTATCCAGTACCGTCTGGGAGTCCCAGGCTTCTTCAGGTGAGCCTGGGATTGAAATGGGCAATGAGTGCCAAGCACAGCTGCGACAGCCCTGTGACCCTTGTCTCTACCACTTCTCAGCACTGGAGACCAGCATGCCACTGGCAACTGGGGCTATCTGGACCAAGTGGCCGCCCTACGCTGGGTCCAACAGAATATCGCCCACTTTGGAGGCAACCCCAACCGTGTCACCATTTTTGGCGAGTCTGCAGGTGGCATTAGTGTGTCCTCACATGTCGTGTCCCCCATGTCCCAAGGACTCTTCCATGGGGCCATCATGCAGAGTGGGGTGGCCCTGGTACCTGGATTCATGTCCAGTTCCTCTGAGGTGGTTGTCAAGGTGAGTGCCCTCAACCATCCAGCCCAGACCCACTGTTTCACCCTTCATCCTCACAGCCTCTGGTTCTCTGTTTTGTGGAAACAATAAGGACCAAGGAGAGGCCTTGAGTATGTCTCCTTGGGAATTGTTGAGGGGTCAGGGATCAGAATTCACACCTCTCTGCCTCTCTGAGGCTGAGTATATTTTATGGCCAAGTTTCCTCATCCTGCACAGAACTATGTAAGTAAGCAGAAGGGAATGGCCCTTCTGGCTGGGGCCTCTGAGCATCAGAGAAGTGGGTACAATTTCACTCCTGCAACTCCACACTCCATACCCTGGGAGATTTAGGAGCACTGCACCCATCTGGGTCTGGGAAAACTCTTCCTCCTGCCTGGAACGATAAGATAGCCCCTGCCTGGTTGCTTTCTAGATGGTGGCCAATCTGTCTGCCTGTGGACAGGTGGACT